ACTTATAATATAATGATGTGGTCTACCTACAATTTAGCAAAATCAAGGTCCTCAAGTGTATTAATTAATTTTCCTAGAGACCCGTGCCAAACATCAATGGGAGCATAGGAATCAAAATGCTAAAGCATACCCCAAGGAGTTGATCAATTAAAAATAGTATGATGAACTATAAAAAAACACCACATACGTCAAGAAAAGAATCATGTTTGGATCCCATCATGCACTTGTCCCGACATGTATTATCTAAGTGGAATTTTTTAATAGTCAATGAGGAATAAAATAATTTATGATCTAATTTGAATTATTCATATATTTTTATATAAATATAAAAAAATTAAGGGATTATTTAAATAAATTTAGTTGAAATTTATGTATAATTTGTTATAATTTAGTTAATTAAATTATTCATGTCAGATCAGATTTTTAGATTATTAACGAATTCAAGTATGGTCAACAAAATAAAATTCATTGGATTTGAATTCGGATCANGTGAGATTATTTGTGCAATGTGGATCTTATGGCTAAACTGGGTTGGTAGATGATCTCACAAAAGCATAAGTTGTGGACCTTCCAATTGGAAATAAAGTATTATTCAAGACACTCTTTTTGCATGTTGAGAAATAGCCAACTGACTCAACCATCTGGAAACAAATCTTGTTGTGCAGAACAACCATCGAGAAATGAGCATGCTACATTGTTGAAAAGGGCCACAAAATTAATATATGGATAGATCCCTGGATTCCTAACCATCCACAATTCAAGCCTTTATTGATCCAAGACATCCATCCCTTGCCAAATACAGGCGATGAACTCATCAATCCAGGAAATAACACTTGGAATGTTGAATTGCTACAAAAACATGTTCTGCCACATGACTGTTCAAGCAATTCTCGATATTAAGCTGTCAATCTATGTTGGAGAAGATCANGATATATTTTAAAAACACTTCATCCACACTTTATTTAGATACACATTTCTTCAATGAGACTCTTTCTAGATAGATATACTTTCAATGAGAACTGCTCTATTTTATAAACTTTTTTTATATATTAAAAGTTAGACCGATTAAAATTCGATTCGAGGTAAGTAAAATTTATTTTTTTACTGTTCAAATAAAATTTTAATCAATTCGCATTGAATTTTAATTGAGCTGAATTTTAATACACAAAAAAATATAAATTTTAATCAACTCAAATTTTAATACATAAACAATAAATTTTAATCAAATTTTAATTGACACAAATTTTAATAATTAAAAAAATATAAATTTTAATTAACTCAAAACGAATTTTAATCGACACTAACAACTGAAGTAGAGCTTAAATCGGTTCAAATTTTTATACGTAACAAAAATAAAATTTAATTAGCTTGAATTGAATTTTAATCGGTTCAAATTTTAATATATAAAAAAATAAATTTTAATCAATTTTTTATATATTAAAAATTAAATTTTTAATCGACTCAAATTTTAATCGAATTTTATATAAAAAGATTGTTTGGGATTTATATAAGGGCAATTGATATTTTATATGAATTGTTTTGTTAGAAACGGTGGTTTTACGGTAAAAGATGTTAGTTATGTTTAAATAAAAGTTTGAAGGAGTGTTAGTGATATTTTGAATAATAGAGAAGGTGCCCTTAAAAATATAATAAATTAAAAGACATGTGATTAAAATTTTCCTAACAATATCAATAACAATCTAGTTTTTTAAGCTCATTTAGGGAAAGAAAGTTTAATTTTTTTTTCTTTTTTAATCTTTGTGTCGTTGTCTACACCTCAACTATGCTAGTCGTTTCTCTTATAATTATTGATTATAATGGGTCTGTTTTGAACTAACTTAGGAACAAGTCCACAATTTATTACAACTCCAATGCAACTAGATAGTCCATCAGATCAGCTAAGACCATTCTCCAGCTAAAGTAGGACAACAATGGAGCCAAATACCTAGGCCTCCCACTAAATATGGGAAGGTCTAAGAAATTGGCCTTTTCAGCCAATTATTGAAAAGATTGACAAAAAACTCAAAGGATGGAAAACAAAGCTCCTATCTTATGCTGGAAGAGCCACCTTGATCAAGTCAACTGCTATGGCATTTCCAACATACGCCATGCAATTCTACATTCTCCCAAAGTCTACTTGTGAGTCCATTGATAAGAGGATCATAACTTTTTGGTGGGGACAAACATAAGACAAAAAGTCGTTGAGCATTAAGTCATGAGATTATTTGTGCAATGTGGATCTTATGGCTAAACTGGGTTGGTAGATGATCTCACAAAAGCATAAGTTGTGGACCTCCCAATTGGAAATAAAGTATTATTCAAGACACTCTTTTTGCATGTTGAGAAATAGCCAACTGACTCAACCATCTCGAAACAAATCTTGTTGTGCAGAACAACCATCGAGAAATGAGCATGCTACATTGTTGAGAAGGGCCACAAAATTAATATATGGATAGATCCCTGGATTCCTAACCATCCACAATTCAAGCCTTTATTGATCCAAGACATCCATCCCTTGCCAAATACAGGCGATGAACTCATCAATCCAGGAAATAACACTTGGAATGTTGAATTGCTACAAAAACATGTTCTGCCACATGACTGTTCAAGCAATTCTCGATATTAAGCTGTCAATCTATGTTGGAGAAGATCACATGACCAGGGTCCATGCACCATCAGGTGAATTTTCCACCAAATATGTTTACTCCTTACAAAGAGCTGCACACGAAGAAAATATCTGCTACCTAAGTACCTCAGATTGGACCAAGCTATAGAAATCCTATATTCATTCAAGGCTCAAAATGATGATTTGGTGAGCAACAACTGAAAGTTNCTTTCATCTATTTCATATCCACGTATCTCATTTTAAACCGGCCAAAAAAAAAAAAAAAACTAACTTAAATAAATAATTTTTAAGGATTTTGTAGTAAAATAAGTCAACTCCATTTAGATTTTAGCTTTTTTATTGGCTTTTTATGCAATAGTTTTTTGGACATAAAAGACTTGTTGAGGCTGATTCAAGAAACTAATTTTATGAGCTTTTATTTCAACTTTTGGGAGTTTTTTCGTGAGTCCTACATAATTTTTTAGTTTATTATATTTGTAATTTTTTAGTTTATTATATTCATAAAATATTATTAGTGACGTAAAAAAATTTAAAATTCATATTTTGGAAAGCATTATACATAATCAATACATATATTTTTTTTTTTATAATTGTGACACAAAAATCCAAAATAACTAAAAAGTAACACCAAACGGAATTTTTAATTTTTTTCAATTTTTTAAAGAAAGGGTAGCTCAATTGTTAATATGTACGAGCTCTAAATTCAAACGTTCTGAGTTCGAATCTTGATAATTTTTTTGAGATTAGACTATGAGAAATTTATTCTTCATGAATATCTTAATTTTGGTGTGGACGGTCTCTGCCTTTGATCGGACTGAAAATAGAATTAGTTAAGGTGTGTGTAAACTGATCCAGACACCCCTCACCATTTAAAAAAAAAAAAAGATTTGGGAGATTTTTTTAACTTTAATTTTTTTACAAAAATTTTTAAACCGCTGTTTAATTAAAAAAATCAGCTCCAAATAGACCCAATATTTAAGCTCAATTCATTTATTAAACAAAAATCCAAGTTCAACTCAAACTTAATTTACAAGTGAACAAGCTCGAACAAGTCGATCTGGAGTTGTTGAGAAACAAGTTCAGTCTATTTAGTTAATTATAAGTCCTCTTTTAATATTAATATTCGTTGAAGTGACAACTAACTAAGATGCTCCTAAAGTAAGTCAAACCAAAACTACCCTTACATTTGGTCGTTAGTCAACTCTGTCTGATGCTGTCTCTATTAATTGTTAACGTTGTCCTTCTCTTTTAATGTAATTAAAATAAAATCTCATTTTATTTAAATATATTTTTTTTAATGCAACATATTAAAATCTCTTTTAATGTAACATATTATATATATCATTTTTTAATTTAACGGTTAGTAGTGTTTAGATTAATTTATGCGTATCTCAACTAATCTCTTCTCTAATTCAGTTAAAGACAGTCATTCACGTCAGAACTAGGATATTCATAAGAGTCCCAAGAAATTACAAATATTCGAATTCAAGACGTTTGAATTTATAACTCGTTTCTATTACCAATTATACTACCCTTTAGGATATGTTAACTCTATTTCATACCCATTCAATTATAATTGTTTATAACAAAATTTATGTTGTATCATATTTTTATGGTGTAAAAATTATGCATGATCTAGCGCATGTCATCTATAAATTGGTGCATGTATACCATTTTGTAACGGATTTAACTCGTGAAATTGTTTTTACTCAAATTGGTTTAGAATAAATTCATATAATTATTTTGATTTTTGTGTTTAGTTGATTGGATTATATTAAAAAAATGGCTTAATTTACTTCTAAATAAAGTAAATAAAATTAATTATAGAAATATGAAATAACCCATGACCGGTCTTCCACGGCGGATTAAATTAAACAAATACAATTTCCCAAGCAAGTCATGGGAACCACGACTCTCTAAAAACCAGGCCCAAATCCGTCATTTCACAATGTACCACCCCCACCATTTCCCGGATAGAAAAGTCACTTTATCAAAACTCCGAGGACATTTCAGTCTTTTCGCTCACTGTCCCCACCACAGTAATGATCCTTCACACAGAATGGCTTGCAGAGTTGGCAATGTCTTCTTCGTTTTGCCCCCTTCTCTCCGTCTCTGTCTCTCTCTTTCTCTCTTTAATAGGAAAAAACATAAACACATGTCACTTTCCCTCTCTACATAGCTCTCAGTTTCTCTCTCTATATCGCTCTCTCAGCAGTTAAGCGGCCCCAGTCTCTTCACCTAATCTTTCTCTCTCATTGTTCCTTCATTTTGTTCATTCTTCCCTCATTCATTTGATGTACAAGTGAAAATCTAGAAAAGAGACAGTGTGTAGGGTTTTAGAGAGAGAGAGAGAGAGAGATAGATAGAGAAAGCTATGCCTTTAGTGCGTGTGGAGGTGAGAAATGAGTACGGACTGGGAATGCCCGAGCTGTACAGAGAACCGAACACAGAAGATCCAAAGGCCGTGCTTGACGGTGTGGCTGTGGCTGGTCTAGTTGGGATCTTAAGGCAATTGGGCGATCTTGCTGAGTAAGTGAACACTTCTGTTCTTCGTTTTCTGCTTTTCTTCTTCTTCATTTTCTCTCCTTTTTCCTAAGTTTTTGATTTGGCTCGTTCTTCGTTTTTGTACTGTTTGTATTTCAATTTGTTGGTTTTCCAGATTTATTTTAGGTGCCTTTTGCTTGTTTTAGTGTTGTATACAGCTGAAAGTTATTAGATTTTTGAAAATTTTGGGTGTTTAATCAGTCTGTGAGGCCATAACTTGTCTACTTTGAGGAATTAGGCTTAAATATAGGCTTACAGCTGAATACAATTGCTGAATCAACTGCCCCTCCAGAATGGCTAGTAATACCACTTAATGGCGGATAGACCATATTTATGTGCGTGTTTGAGGTAGTGATTTACTTGATGTTTCTACATCTTTTTAGGAAACAAGAAAATTGAGAACCTAAGAAAATATCATGGTATTATTTTGTACACTTATTTTTTAACATTGTGTATTGTTGCTTTAATCAGATGTATGATGATGCTTAGAGATTCTATAAGTGTCTTCTTGTTAATAGTAGGAAGGGAACAAAAAGAACTTAAGTCAGCTTCGAACTTGTTTTATTAAATGGGAATGCCAGTAGATTATTGAGAAGCAGAATGTTTATCCAATCAATAATTTCAGTCTTAGTTTTGTTACCATATTGATTACACTTGTTTTTGAAAGGTTTATAGTTTTTTGATTTCAACAATAAGGTCTAAGGTTGTACAATGATAAGGAACTTGAAGTCTATGTTAATGGGAGATTTTCCCAAGGTCCTTTACCAAAAAAAAAAAAAGAAAAAAAGAAAAATCATACTCTTCTAGTTTCACACACTTCTTATTATCATGGTCTTGATCTATGAAATTCTCCCTCTCTAGCCATTTCCTGATGTTTGAATCCTAGAGATTTGGGGGTTGATTTTTGCTAGGATATGGGATACAATATGGACATTGTTGGAGTCATCCAATCCAAAACCAATTGATAATAAGTGCACACATCCCCCAACAACAAAAACCATCCTTGAGTGGCTCTAATCTTTTCGATGCAGGGTACAAGTTCTCTTCATATCCTCTTTTATGTGTGACCCCAGTTCATACATGAGGTAGCAAGTTAAACTAAAAAACGCAGATGAACATAATGGAGAACTTAAATGGGTGAGAGAATTGACCCACTGACCACATGAGACATAGCTCTAATACCATGTTCAGCGCATACACAGTACAACAGAAAACCAGTTAGCATTGAGTGGGAAAATTCCTCTATCATATCAATCAATCTTGAGTGTCCCAGCCTTAATTTATTAGTCTAGGATGCAAAGTCTCTACACAGGCACATCGACACAAAATTGGTCAAAAAAATTGGACACGAACATCGACACAATATTTTTTAAAAAGTAGGACACGGACACGTCGGAGACATGCTACAAATAATTGTATTCTATATATAAACTCTATCATTTATTGCAAATATAGTGATAATGATATATTATTCCTAAAGAAATAATCTTTATGATAAGTAAATGTTATGTCTAGTCGTTATCTAGTGTGAATTTTTATACTAAAACATCATAATGGTCAAAAGTCATCAATTGTTTTTTATAGACAACTTGTACTCAGCATATATAATTTAAATGGTTGCTTTTATTTTCTCAATTCTTCTTTTTTAAACCTTTTATGAATCTTTTGCTTTTATTATTATCTTTTGAGTACAGTTTTAACATGTCTAGTCTTAATAATTATATATTATCTCATATTATAAGATACTTATTAGCCAAATTTTTAAGTTTTGTTAATCACGAGTCAACATATTTTTATTGTTTAGTAATAAACACGGTCCAAAGAAGTGTAAGAAATATCACCAAAGAAGTGTCGGACACTTGTCCAACATTAAAATTTTATCATTTGATTATGGGCACAGATAAAAGAGTATGAGACATATGGTCGATAGTGTTCGAGGAATGTCGGTATCCGATACGGATATGTCACTTTTTTGAGAGTTTCTATGCTCCATAGATCTAGTTTAATCCTTATATAAACATTTAGGAATTTAATAATTCATGTTTGACTTTCGTTTTTCCCAAAGCATAAAAAAGTGTTTTGAATGGGTCCTCAATGTGTTATGACCTAGGGTGTTCACAATGTCTTCCCAACAGGCCCGAAATTGAAAAACATGGAGGGAACTCGTTGCATGTCGGTGTACTCATGTTGGTTATGCATCCCCTAAATTTAAGGCGCCAATATACTAGTCTAAGAAAGATTTGTGCTTTCTAGCTCAATACCACTATAATGTTGTCCTGTTCACAAATTCTGCATGTCTTGCATTAGGGCAGCCACTTTATGTGTCAAATCTACGAAAAGCTTGTCTGTATTTCTTTCAATCAGCTATCCTCTTCTCGCCATATGGTCTGGACTCTGGATAAGTTCCATGTATTCAAAAGGGTATTGAAAACCTGCTCTGGTGCCTAAACTGTACATGTAGATAAGAAACAAAGAAAGAAACAATGAGCAACACAAATTACATCAGATATGTTGACATATAATATTACATACGACATGATGGGTACTTAGTATACCTCTTGAAGAACTCAAATTAAACTGTATCGTCACTTCTTGTTATTGTCTAAGCTTTCTTTCACATCCGGATCAAGTACATGGTTGAAGAANTGATGGGTACTTAGTATACCTCTTGAAGAACTCAAATTAAACTGTATCGTCCCTTCTTGTTATTGTCTAAGCTTTCTTTCACATCCGGATCAAGTACATGGTTGAAGAAGTGGCTACTAGAGTCCCTTCTTGATTTCCCACACTCACAAATACAAGGTTGTATGGTGTTAACCCAAAGAACTTGTTTGGATGGATTTTTGGGGAGGGTTTGGATTGGCTTCTCCAAATCCAAACCCCTCTTTACAAAGATGGGATTCAACATTGAATCCGGTCTATGTCTGGTATGCACTACATACACATGTAGGACCCACAAATATGTCATAATTATTAACAACTATTTGTCCTATAAATAATTATTTTATCCGTGATTAATCCAATTCATACCAATGTTAAGGGGTACAATTGTCTTTTACATCCTTAACCCCTTAACCCAATCTTTTCAAATCATGGTTTTACCCCTTAACCNGGACCCACAAATATGTCATAATTCTTAACAACTATTTGTCCTATAAATAATTATTTTATCCGTGATTAATTCAATTCATACCAATGTTAAGGGGTACAATTGTCTTTTACATCCTTAACCCCTTAACCCAATCTTTTCAAATCATGGTTTTACCCCTTAACCCTCTAGGCTTGACGAAACCAATGATGATGGTTTTAATATTCGGGCCAGGTTTGGGAATCCGTGATTGAATTTTCAAAACAAACATGGGGTTTGGAGATCTTTTGAACTATTTTTCCCAAACTCATCTTACTAATTCCCCTTATACCCCTTTACCAAACAACCCANCATGGTTTTAATATTCGGGCTAGGTTTGGGAATCTGTGATTGAATTTTCAAAACAAACATGGGGTTTGGAGATCTTTTGAAATATTTTTCCCAAACTCATCTTACTAATTCCCCTTATACCCCTTTACCAAACAACCCAAAAGAGTGTGCAAAAAGAGATTATGTGGAGAGGAAGAGTGGATCTTGCAAATTGCTTGTAACTTCTTAGGAATTCTGCAGAGAATTATTTAAATATGCATCACTAGGTGGAGGTAACTAAGGTAACTTCCAAATAACCACCCCGTCATGGGGCACTATGATAACCTCCATGTAGTGGGGTATTTATATTTGTAACTTCTACAAATCACTGAGGTTGGGATCCATTTGTCCATGTGGGAGGATCTCGATCAGGGTCCAATGACCCATCATATATTAACAAGATGCAATTCCTAATGCATAATAAAATGAACACAACTAACTGCTGGTCCTATTCTGTCCTTGAACTTCAGGGGCTTCCAGCCTTCATCATCAATACCTGTAAGGCAGGAAGTAGCATAGAGCGACGAGCTGAAACTCAAAAAATGCAAAAATACCTGAGAAACCTTGGAATTTTCCTTCTATGTACGATGTAATTGTTTTTCACGAGTATCTAGTGGGTAACTTGTAAGGCAGATTTTAGATTGATCCTGTAGGTTCAGCTGTGAATATTGTTATGGGATGTAGGCTTCCTATCGTTCAAAAGGCTAAAAGATGTAAGCCTTATACCACCGGGCTTGTATCGAACTGATTTATTGTGAGTTCAAGCTTTAGAGCATGATACTAAGAGTCAATTCTCTACATTTGGTAGATTTGCAGCAGAGGTTTTTCATGGCTTACAGGAACAAGTGATGAATACATCTTCTAGAAGCCATAAGTTGATGGTTCGCGTACAGCACATTGAAGCTGCTCTTCCTCCAATTGAGAAAGCTATACTGGCCCAAAAGAGCCACTTACACTTCGCTTACACGACTGGTATGCTCAAGTGCTTGTGGTTTAACTTTTTCAAGATTTCTATCTGTTAGGATTAGCTAATATACATTTCTTTCTTCCAGTAAACTGATGATAGCATGAGCTTTAACTTTTGACCAGATTTGATTCCAAGATTAACTCATTCCCTTTCTGTTTCCCTTTTTGCCTCTCTGATTTAAATCAATATCTTCAGACTCGTGCACAAGTGCCTGTTTAGCAATTTTTTTATCTGACTTTTACTGTTCCTCCCCTAAGACACTGCTGGGGAGATCTAATACTAAATGTTGAGGTGCAAACTTTATACTCTGGTTTAATTCTGGTTCATATGCTTATTCTGATTATATTTAGGCTTAAACTGATTTCTTCTGAATTATTTATTCATGAAGTTAAGTATCCACACTTGTCTTGCCAGTATTTCAAGATGAGTTTTTCTTAATGGAAAGCAGTGGCTTTGCAGGTTCCAACTGGCATGCCCACATCCGAACGGCAGAAAACCACTTTGTCTACAATGACTTGCCACGATTCATCATGGATTCTTATGAAGAATGCCGTAGCCCACCACGTCTGCACTTGCTAGACAAGTATAGTCTACATTTCAATTTCTATCCTATTTCTAGTTTTTCTACTCTATATTATGTACCTTGAGAGCATCTCCAGCCATTATCCTTTTTAGTACCCAAATTTAAATTTTGGGAAAAATGTCTAAAATGCTTCTCCAACGCTTAGACCCATACCCATACCAAATGAAAGAAAACCCTTTTTTAAACCCAAATCAAGGGAAACCCTTTTTTAAACTCAAATCTTTAATGGTGAGATTATACCCTCCTTTAAAGATCCAATGGTCATATTTTACCCTCTTTTAAATTTAGATTTCTATTCATTTAAATTTGGGTTTCTCTTCCTTTAAATTTAAGTTTCTCCATTGGAGAGGTCTATACCAATCAAACTTTTTACCCTTTTTTTTACTCAAATTTGGGTAAGAGTTTGGGTTTTCATTGGAGATGGTCTAAGCTTAAGTTTTCTGTCAGATTTGACCCGGGAGGTCCTGGATCTTGCTTAAAGAGATATTCAGATCCTACCTACTTTAAGAGAGCATCATCTAAATCGAATGAAGTGAAGGTGGAGAAAGTCCCAAGAGATAAGAAGGCTCGTAGAATCAAGGTATGTTGTGACACTTTTGGTTTGAGACAATTCAGAAAGTCAATGACAATATTTAGCCATTAGGGAAAAGTCTATCCCTATGGCCTATGCTATATACTATTGATTCGATGATGAATTACTCATTGAATCCATAGTTACAGTCAACTAAACTGCAACTAAACTGCTTTTGTAGAGGTCCTCGTTTACGTTCCAGGTTTTCTTCGTGTATAGGTTTGCGTTGACATGGAATAATTTAGTCAAATAAGTNTTTTGTAGAGGTCCTCGTTTGCGTTCCAGGTTTTCTTCGTGTATAAGTTTGCGTTGACATGGAATAATTTAGTCAAATAAGTTCGTTTACAATGGTGTCATTANAACTAAACTGCTTTTGTAGAGGTCCTCGTTTACGTTCCAGGTTTTCTTCGTGTATAGGTTTGCGTTGACATGGAATAATTTAGTCAAATAAGTTCGTTTACAATGGTGTCATTAACCCTTGTCTTTGCTGTATTATGATACTGCATATTGGAATTTTATTCTGATAAGTGCCAATAATTTAGCAGAAAAAAAGAACATGGCAGCGGAATGAAGAAGTATCACATGGTGCGTCAATGTCCAATTATAGTGGCAGGTACGCTGTTTGTATGCTAATGTGTGTATTGATGTGACACACCAAAATATGTCTGGCATGTGTGTGTGTTAGTAGGTGGCTGCAGAAAATGGCCAGAGTGAGAAAAGATTCCTGGCACCTGGTTTTGGTTATGTACTCTAAGATGGTAACTGATTTCTGTTTGTGGTCTTTATCAATGCAGAATGCAACTTACATCCCGAAATGCTGATGAGCTGATGTCCCCTACTCAAACTGTCTCCACATTTGATGCTGGATTGAAATCAGACCAGGGAGACCAATCAAATTCTTTTGATTCCAGACCTGCGTCAGGCTACATAGAATGTGTATTCCATCCAAGTTACTCTAGTCAACCTGAAGAACATGAATGTAGGGAATCCTCATCTTCTCGGTTACCAGTGCACAAAGATGAGATCCTTGATTATGCTTTTCTGGATGAAGAAAGCAGAGTTGTAGATGATGATATTCAAAAACGTTTTACACAGGAGCAAACTGGCTGCAGTTCTTCTTGTGTTACTTGGGATGAAAAGATCGAAATAGATTCTTTGGGACAGCAATATGATCATGATGAAACTTCAGAGATGCTCCCCACAAGCTTTGATCTGAATATGCAGGAGTCACGAGCTGTTAATTTTAGAATAATGGATGAAGAAAGCAGGGTTGTAGATGATGATATTCAAAAAGGTTTTTCACAGGAGCAAACTGGCTGTAGTTCTTGTGTTACTTGGGATGAAAAGATAGAAATAGAGTCTATAGGACAGCAATATGATCATGGTGAAACTTCAGAGATGCTCCCCACAAGATTTGATCTGAATATGCAGGAGACACGAGCTGTTAATTTTAGAACAATGGATCAAAAGGATTTACAGTTTGATGATGAAAACATGCCAACATCGATCTATGGCGGTGACAAGCTTGAGGATATTGAAAGCGAAACAGAAAATTATGTGGATGCACTTAACACCATCGAATCTGAGTCTGAAATAGATTTCGACTGCCATGCAAAGCGAGAAGTAGAGCAGTACTCCAATTTGAACAGCAGAGCAGTAGATGATGGAATAAGTAGGCCTACAGCAGAGTGTTCAGACCATCATTTATTGACTTCCGAATCTCATATTGCTGGCTCCAGTTATCCAAACAAAGATGCATCCAGGGACATCTCCAACCCTGGGTCCCCAGAATGTCATACAGCAATTCTGCCTTCCTCAAACGTAGGGAAATCCGATGATAAATCTGACTCAGGCTCTTCAGAGTATTATGTCCACCTACCATCGCCCGAAATTGCTGGGAACTCATCGACTCCCTTCAGTTTGCTGGACATAGAGTTATGTGGAAATGCTAATATTCATGATGGTCCCAGCTCAGAATCTGTTGTCAGCAATGCATCACCTTGTGACTCCAGAGAAACCAATATTCAGGATCAGGTAAGTGAAAAGATCATAAACAGTCCTAGTGACTCTCAAAGACCTCCTGAACCTTCCAGCATCAGCTCAGTTACGTTTTGGACAAATGGTAGCCTGCTAGGACTTGAGCCGTCAAAGCCACCGGATTTCAGTTCCTTAAATGCTGTCAGACACGAGTCTACGACCAATTGTAAAGATGACATAGTTGGACCAATACTTCAAATTAATGCTCTTGAGGGTGTTGGGCCTGCAGGAAAACCAGATGTATTGACCAATAGCTCCAGAATCATTGAAGAAAGTCCAAGTTCTAAATGCTCTGCACCATGCCATGATGATCAAGAACATAGTATGTCTATTAAGAGAAGAATGTGGAGGTTTTCACCAGCTGATTTAGATGTCAAACTTGAGAAATCTAGCGACTTCAGGAAGAGTTTCAATAATTCCCAGGGTCATGGTTTGACTGAAACTAGTACAGTTACATCTGGAACTGAGAGGCCATTCGGTCCAGATGTCCAATGTACTAATTCATATCAACAGAATGGCAAAAATACATCTAGGATGTTTGAATTCAGCAACAGCTTACTTGTAAATGGGTTTCGAAGGACACTCTCACTTGGGGCTAACATTAACTCTGATCCTGCCTTCTCTCTGAATACTGGTGGTTTTGAGCAAGAGACCAGGTGCCAAAGTGTTTCACATCAAACTTTCTCCGGTAGGACTAGAGAGCAGTTTGGAAGTGCATTTCCAGTCCTGTCACCTTCTTCTTCACCACCACTTGAACATATGAAGATATCATTCCAGCCTATGGATGGCTTTGAGGCTTCCAAACTGAAATTGAAATTCCCTAATGGGAGTAACAGTTGTGACAGTAGCAAAGATATGTTTCCTTCGTTTCAGTTGGTCCCAGAGACTGCAAGTTCTCGTCATGACTTTGGTTCAGAGTCTGATGATGACACATTCTGTAGATCATCTCCTTATATGTCAGATGATTGCCTTAGTGATAACTCTGATTCAAATTCTGAGCATTGGGAATCTGGTGAATCTCCCAGTAGCAAGGACCACGAATTATATGATGCTTTCTGCAGAATCTCATCAGCAGAGTCTGCTTCAAGCTCTGTGGGGATTGGGGGAATGGCCCAGGGAAGCATCTACGATAACTATGGATTTCAAAGTTCATATGCTGAAAATGGTGCAGAACTTTCTCACCTTGGTGGTTTACTTGATCTTCCAAGCTTGGATACCCTGAATCGTTCAGTTATGCCAAAAGTAGAAAACAATTCTGACAGAAAAGATGTTCTAGATTTCTGCTCACCTAAGGAGTCTACGCCACTGCCTCCACCTCTCCCTCCATTGCAGTGGCGGGCTATGAAACCTCATTCAGATGTGACAGAAGATAAGCAAGATACTGTATCTGATGACCTAGGTTATGCATTTGATCTGAACCTTTTGAGTACTACTATCTCTCAGCAACCTAAACCGGCTCCAGTTAAGCAAGATCAATTTATTGACACTGCATATACCCTGGATATCAAGGTACTCATGCTAGTTACTGTTTCCTTTTTTTTTTTGTCCGTTCAATTGATCATGACTTAAGTAGAGACTGTGACATGTAACAACTGACTGTGTTACATGCTAGGAGCCAGACTTACAGAAGCCAAATGGACAGAAAGAAGTTAAGCAGCCAGACTCGCAGAAGCTAAATTGGCAGAAAGAAGGGATGGATGAAAAGGAAGATTTCTTGCATCAGATTAGAACAAAAGTGAGTTGCCATTAACCTTTATACTTTGGTATATTTTCCTACTCACCTGAATTTGAGCCCACTTTGCTGTGAGGTTGGTTAATGTTGGAAAAAGGGCCAGTGTGTCAACTAATGATCAGAAAATTTTCCAGTTTAAATACTGTGGTTTCCATGAGTTAGTGTCTGTAATCGTTTGCTTTGCCTATGACACTATCTAATTTATCCACTCCATTTTTTTTTATCTTAGGATTTTACTCCAGAATGGGCAGTATTATTTCATTTTTTGCCCTGCAGCTTATTCTATGTTCATTCTTAAGCATTTGCTTTTCTGGAAAAAAGGGGGGAAAATGTAAACATGTAACGAGGTTGCACGGGCTGGAAAGTATTAGAGCTTATTTCATGTTCGTAAAATAACACCTCTCAATCCATCATATGAATCTTGTGTATGAAAAGTAGCTACGTAGTTCATAAGTCCCACATTCCCAAGGGACGTGTCTTTCACTGGTAATATGTTGTTATGGCTGACTAAAATTCAGTTCGAGTCATCCGCTCTAACTAAGGAAATGATTGATCTCATATTACGTTCCAGAATAAATGTTCTGCAAGAAAATAATGAAGTATGATTCTTGCTGATCTGGGCTTCCACCTTTGTTGTTCCATTTCAGTCATTCAGTTTGAGACGCACTGTGACAGCAAAACCAAACCATACACCAGACCCCCCTTCAAATGTCTCAGTTACTGCGATCCTGAAGAAGGCAAATGCAATCCGCCAGGTTTTCTACATCTTCTCTCTCTCTCTCTCTCTCTCTCAAAATTATATAACACCATCAATTTTTACTGAACTAATTGGCAGGCTGTTGGTAGTGATGATGGCGAAGACGATACTTGGAGCGACACGTAATCTTCTTTGTACTAATTTAGCAGCCTTTCTAATATTATTCCAACAGTTGGGTGAGCTGTATTATATGTATGTGAATAATCCCACTTCCCTTTGTGTAATTATTTTCTGGGGCTCCTCTTGTATCTCCCATGAGGTTATTTGCTTTGATAGCTTCAATTTTTGTTATAAACATTGTATCAAAACACGAACTCCGAGCAAGTATTCTTGTCCTCGATGCAGTTATTTATACATAATGTCGGAGAGTACTATGATCTGTGCTCGGTCGTAAATTCCATGTTTTGGTGATTTTTTTTTTCCGTTTCGATTGATTCTCTATCCATGCCGGTTATTGCAAATATGTTGGCATCTTATATGCAAGAGTCCTCTATGTTGGGATTTAATGCGCTTTTAATCCACAAACAAACACACACAATCGAAGAACAAACTAAGACATAAAATAATAAGAAACAAGAAAGAGTAAGACACAAATTTTATGTGATTCGGTAATTTGTCTACGTTCATGAAGCTGCAGGGATTTTACTATTGAGAGAGAGGAATACAGAGAGCGGCTATATAGATTCAATCAAATCTTAATTACCAAAATAGCGAATTTTATATATCTTACGCACCGGGTTACAAAACAGTACAATAGGAGTTTTTATATGTCCTATCGGCCCAAACATTCGCTCTATAGACCAAATCTCAGAAAATTTTTCATTAAAAATTAGGCAACATTATTTCTAGTCGGATTATTATTCGGACCAACACACAATCTAGACTCCACAAAAATTCAATACTTTAATGTTGGCATTTAACTAGGCTACCAACCGGAGGTGGACGTGTTGTTTAAGTTCTTGATATTTTCTTGTAATCTTTCGTCGATGTTAGGCTGTATTGGTGATTTGCAAGGCAAGTTATATATAGTCAATGAGTAAAATTTTATTTCGGTGTATTCGGGTAATGTTTCGAAAATATTTTGAAACATTGGTTGAACACACTATAATACCTCGAAATATTTTGTAACTCCTCAAAATATAAGAATTTCAATATTAAATATTGGTTCTGCTATGATAAAAAGACAAAAAAATATTGGCTCTTCTTAGTTTTTAAGAAAAAGTGAAATATTTTACTCGTTTCGACAGAAACAAAATGAAATTTTTGTTCTTAATATAACTTGTTAACGATGACATGATATTATGATATTTGATTGAAGGAATAGTTGATTTAGTTAACAAATAGATGCGACATTGGGAATAGTTGATTTAGATAACAAATAAAAAAAAAAGAATAAAAAAAAAGTTGATTTAGTTAACAAATAGATGCGACATTGAGGAAAGAAATTTGTTCTATTGTTTTATAAAAATTTAAAGCAAATAGATAATGAGCCACAGTAGCAAGCAACATGATGCCTCAACTTTCCAACCCACCCAAAAGTGATTTTAATTGTTTGAGGGCCCCTCTTACTGAAATATTCATGTACATGCATGGAGTAGGCAATACCTAAACTAAACCAAAATGCTAGTCTTTAATTTTAATGAGATTAATGTACTAGCCAGCTTTAATGATACAATTTTAAGGTGATGGGTTTTTTTTTTGCCATAGGTTGGAAGAGGAACGAATGATATTAGACTAATCATACTATTTCTTTCTTCATTTTATCCTGTTTTCAAAATAAAAATCCTACTTACTTCTCGAGAAGAGAGGAGAAACATGACCAATGTTATTTGATTGAATAGTTGACCCGACCCTTTATTATTTGAGGAACCATCCACTTCATTTCAATTGGTGTTTTTTCTATAAAACTCCAGTGACCCTAAAGCATATATATATGTGTGTGTGTGTGTGTGTGTATCTCGATGCAGCCATACCCACCAAAACTTTTTTTATGTGTTATTTTTTTAAATTCAAAAGAGACCCTAAAGAAAAGTGCATCTCTTTTCAACTAAAAGATAGGAAAATGCTTCTTTGTCTTTGATTTTGTATTTAAAAAGTTGTTGGAAACAAGGTTACTTTTTTCATTTGAAAAAATAAAGATATACCTTTATTAAAGTAATCCCCCCTATCCAACTCTACTTTGCATTAATTTGAAACTCAAAAGCTGAAAGGACCACAACATTAAAAACTCTAAAAGAAAGACTAGAACCAAAAAGGAATAGCATTTCCATAACAAGCATCCAGCTTTAAGGATCGATTCATCCTTTTTTATACATTATAAAAGTGTGCTGTGGGGACACACGTTTCTTTTACGTATTTCTAAGTAATTTGTGGTATTTTTTTCCCGGATATAGAGCAAGGTACCTTATGCATGAAATTAGAATTAATATTTCCTAAAACGACCCGAATATCATTATACAAATCAGATTTTACAAAATACGATGACTTAAACGTGAATACGACAAGGAAACACTTGCTAACAGTTGAGGGTGCAACTTGGACGGGCCAATCCGAATTGAACCCGAACCCAATCTAAAAAAAAAAAATAGGGTTTGGATTGAAATTTTTAATAATTTGGTTGAGTCTGAGTAGAAAAACACTATCCCGAATTGAATTCGGACAGTATCCGGGTTAAGGTCTCGGGTTACCGAATTAAACTTGAACCCGCCCGAATTAAACTTGAGCAATACTTAAGTTAATTACCTTAAGTTGAGGTGGGGTTAGACTTAAAATTAAGATTATGATTGAGAATTATACACTTAGAGTTGAATTAAAGTTAATCTCTCAACCCACCCGAATTACATCCCTACTAGCAATCTTGGGTTGAATTCAAGAAGACAAAATTCAATTGAATTCAAAATGATATGCGATGTGTACCGGATATAGGCTAAACACACTCCACATAAATCTGATGATTAAACATGATCATAAAATAAATTGACTATAAATTTAAATACACAAACCCTAATTTTAGTTATCTTTTCCTTAACGTATAGAGTATTCTCTTCCTTAATACATCCATATACCTTCAGCATTACGATAAAACAGCATGAGCATGAGGTGTCAACATAATCTTAATCTATAAAAAGATTATCAACCAGATATTAATCAACTGAAAAGGTCTACCTATTAGCTTTATCTCTTTTATCTTTATTCCCCCACTTTCAATCTCTTTATGCGCAACCTTACTGGTTTAGGACCCACTCTTACCTAGACTTTGTAGTTTCTACACAACAAGATAATCACGACGTTGAGTAATCTTGTGGACAAAAAGCTCAGCATCAACTTTTCTTTCCCCTTTCCCCCACCGCCACCTTGTTCTTGGCGGCTCTTAATGTCAAAGGTCTTATGTTTATGCACTTTTTATGATCTCTCTCTCTCTCTCTCCATACATATATATATATATATATATATATATATATATATTAGTCATAACCCATGTCTTAAGGCATGATAATATATAAAATTCAAACGTTCAAAAAATCGACTTTACTATATTAAATTAATATATAAATTAATTAAATATTAAATAATTAAATATACGATAGAAATGAGTGATGTGATATTTTTAAAGAAAAAATATATAAATGATTAAACATGTGATAAAAATTAGTGATTTGATTTGACGTTTGAGTCTGACAAAGAGATGATGAGTAAGATAAGTGATTGGTGATGATTTTGAGAGGAAAAATATGACTGGGATAAAATTCAAATACAATTCTGTTTTATTATATATATATATATATATATGAATATCTAAGGCCTATACCATCAAATTTAACCCTACTCTCATGTAATTTTTTCTGTTGCATAGATGTACAATTATATATCAATCTAAATGCATTTTCAAGGTTTCTATGTCGATACAAAGAGACATAAATTACATAATGTGGTACAGTACGCGTTTGGAATTGACCTTTATTTATCACCAGCAATTGTCTGTGCCTGAAGGTACATTATTATTCATAAATTAATTACAAATATTTGTATATACATAAATATAAAGTAAAATACAATATTGTAGGAAACGACAAATAAAATGAGCCTACTAATATTTTTTATAACATCAACCTACATGCATAGCATATATTTTCACATTAAACTGTTACGCCACAAAAATTATGTTATACCTATTGAAACATAATATTTCAAAAATCTGAAAAAATATGTCGATTGACTATATTCAATGCTCTGTTTTTTATTCAAAATTGATGATTCTAACATTCATAATCAACTTTATCTAAATAATAACAGAATTCATAATTAATAGAATGAAAATTAAAACAATACTCCCACAAATAAACCATGTATGCAGATGTTATTAAATGACTAAATATAACTATTAGAAATTCAACCGATTTTTAAAAGATACGGTCTGACTATTGAATTTGTATGATTCGAGTTTATANGAAACAAGGTTACTTTTTTCATTTGAAAAAATAAAGATATACCTTTATTAAAGTAATCCCCCTATCCAACTCTACTTTGCATTAATTTGAAACTCAAAAGCTGAAAGGACCACAACATTAAAAACTCTAAAAGAAAGACTAGAACCAAAAAGGAATAGCATTTCCATAACAAGCATCCAGCTTTAAGGATCGATTCATCCTTTTTTATACATTATAAAAGTGTGCTGTGGGGACACACGTTTCTTTTACGTATTTCTAAGTAATTTGTGGTATTTTTTTCCCGGATATAGAGCAAGGTACCTTATGCATGAAATTAGAATTAATATTTCCTAAAACGACCCGAATATCATTATACAAATCAGATTTTACAAAATACGATGACTTAAACGTGAATACGACAAGGAAACACTTGCTAACAGTTGAGGGTGCAACTTGGACGGGCCAATCCGAATTGAACCCGAACCCAATCTAAAAAAAAAAAATAGGGTTTGGATTGAAATTTTTAATAATTTGGTTGAGTCTGAGTAGAAAAACACTATCCCGAATTGAATTCGGACAGTATCCGGGTTAAGGTCTCGGGTTACCGAATTAAACTTGAACCCGCCCGAATTAAACTTGAGCAATACTTAAGTTAATTACCTTAAGTTGAGGTGGGGTTAGACTTAAAATTAAGATTATGATTGAGAATTATACACTTAGAGTTGAGTTAAAGTTAATCTCTCAACCCACCCGAATTATATCCATACTAGCAATCTTGGGTTGAATTCAAGAAGACAAAATTCAATTGAAATTCAAAATGATATGGGGTGTGTACCGGATATAGGCTAAACACACTCAACATAAATCTGATGATTAAACATGATCATAAAATAAATTGACTATAAATTTAAATACACAAACCCTAATTTTAGTTATCTTTTCCTTAACGTATAGAGTATTCTCTTCCTTAATACATCCATATACCTTCAGCATTACGATAAAACAGCATGAGCATGAGGTGTCAACATAATCTTAATCTATAAAAAGATTATCAACCAGATATTAATCAACTGAAAAGGTCTACCTATTAGCTTTATCTCTTTTATCTTTATTCCCCCACTTTCAATCTCTTTATGCGCAACCTACCTGGTTTAGGACCCACTCTTACCTAGACTTTGTAGTTTCTACACAACAAGATAATCACGACGTTGAGTAATCTTGTGGACAAAAAGCTCAGCATCAACTTTTCTTTCCCCTTTCCCCCACCGCCACCTTGTTCTTGGCGGCTCTTAATGTCAAAGGTCTTATGTTTATGCACTTTTTATGATCTCTCTCTCTCTCTCTCCATACATATATATATATATATATATATATATATATATATTAGTCATAACCCATGTCTTAAGGCATGATAATATATAAAATTCAAACGTTCAAAAAATCGACTTTACTATATTAAATTAATATATAAATTAATTAAATATTAAATAATTAAATATACGATAGAAATGAGTGATGTGATATTTTTAAAGAAAAAATATATAAATGATTAAACATGTGATAAAAATTAGTGATTTGATTTGACGTTTGAGTCTGACAAAGAGATGATGAGTAAGATAAGTGATTGGTGATGATTTTGAGAGGAAAAATATGACTGGGATAAAATTCAAATACAATTCTGTTTTATTATATATATATATATATATATGAATATCTAAGGCCTATACCATCAAATTTAACCCTACTCTCATGTAATTTTTTCTGTTGCATAGATGTACAATTATATATCAATCTAAATGCATTTTCAAGGTTTCTATGTCGATACAAAGAGACATAAATTACATAATGTGGTACAGTACGCGTTTGGAATTGACCTTTATTTATCACCAGCAATTGTCTGTGCCTGAAGGTACATTATTATTCATAAATTAATTACAAATATTTGTATATACATAAATATAAAGTAAAATACAATATTGTAGGAAACGACAAATAAAATGAGCCTACTAATATTTTTTATAACATCAACCTACATGCATAGCATATATTTTCACATTAAACTGTTACGCCACAAAAATTATGTTATACCTATTGAAACATAATATTTCAAAAATCTGAAAAAATATGTCGATTGACTATATTCAATGCTCTGTTTTTTATTCAAAATTGATGATTCTAACATTCATAATCAACTTTATCTAAATAATAACAGAATTCATAATTAATAGAATGAAAATTAAAACAATACTCCCACAAATAAACCATGTATGCAGATGTTATTAAATGACTAAATATAACTATTAGAAATTCAACCGATTTTTAAAAGATACGGTCTGACTATTGAATTTGTATGATTCGAGTTTATAATAGTGCTTTTAATTTTATATCATTCTTCTCGGTTATTTATATTCTTAGNGTAGTTCTTTTAATTTTATATCATTCTTCTCGGTTATTTATATTCTTAGTATATTTTCTTAAACTAAACATTATTTAATATTAAATTATTTAGTAAAGATTTTTGATTCGTGTTATTTACTAAATGTTGAATTTGTATGATTCGTGTTTATAGTATTACTTATAATTTTGTATTATTTTTCTTGCTTATAATTTTNATTATTTAATATTAAATTATTTAGTAAAGATTTTTGATTCGTGTTATTTACTAAATGTTGAATTTGTATGATTCGTGTTTATAGTATTACTTATAATTTTGTATTATTTTTCTTGCTTATAATTTTTTATCATTTTTCTAGGGTATTTAGATTTGGATTATTTAATAAATNATATATATATATATATATATATATTAGTCATAACCCATGTCTGAAGGCACGATAATATATAAAATTTAAACGTTTAAAAAATCGACTTCACTATATTAAATTAATATTTAAATTAATTAAATATTAAATAATTAAATATACGATAAAAATGAGTGATGTGATATTTTTAAAGAAAAAATATATAAATGATTAAACATGTGATAAAAATTAGTGATTTGATTTGACGTTTGAGTCTGACAAAGAGATGATGAGTGAGATAAGTGATTGATAAAAGTTTTAAGAGGAAAAATATGACTGGGATAAAATTCAAATACAATTCTGTTTTATTATATATATATATGTGAATATCTAAGGCCTATACCATCAAATTTAACCCTACTCTCATGTAATTTTTTCTGTTGCATAGATGTACAATTATATATCAATCTAAATGCATTTTCAAGGTTTCTATGTCGATACAAAGAGACATAAATTACATAATGTGGTACAGTACGCGTTTGGAATTGACCTTTATTTATCACCAGCAATTGTCCGTGCCTGAAGATACATTATTATTCATAAATTAATTACAAATATTTGTATATACATAAATATAAAGTAAAATACAACATTGTAGGAAACGGCAAATAAAATGAGTCTACTAATATTTTTTATAACATCAACCTACATGCATAATATATATTTTCACATTAAACTGTTACGCCACAAAAATTATGTTATACCTATTGAAACATAATATTTCAAAAATCTGAAAAAATATATCAGGTGACTATATTCCATGCTCTGTTTTTTATTCAAAATTGATGATTCTAACATTCATAATCAACTTTATCTAAATCATAACAAAATTCATAATTAATAGAATGAAAATTAAAACAATACTCCCACAAATAAACCATGTATGCAGATGTTATTAAATGACTAAATATAACTATTAGAAATTCAACCGATTTTTAAAAGATACGGTCTGACTATTGAATTTGTATGATTCGAGTTTATAATAGTGCTTTTAATTTTATATCATTATTCTCGGTTATTTATATTCTTAGTATATTTTCTTAAAGTAAACATTATTTAATATTGAATTATTTAGTAAAGATTTTTGATTCGTGTTATTTACTAAATGTTGAATTTGTATGATTCGTGTTCATAGTATTGCTTATAATTTTGTATTATTTTTCTCGCTTATAATTTTTTATCATTTTTCTAGGGTATTTAGATTTGGATTATTTAATAAATATTGTTACTTTTTGTTGTTCTCTAAATATTGAATTTGTATGAATCGTATTTGAATATGAATTTAATTTTGTATATTTTAAATGTTAAGCATATTTTCTTTAATATATCTCTTGATATTTGAGTTGTCTAATAACTTGAATTTAATTTTGTATATTTTACATGTTAAGCATATTTTATTTGTTAAATTAGATTTTTTGCAAGTTATGTTTTTTTTTATTGATTATGAAAAAATAAAATTGGCTATTGAATGTATATGATTCGTGTTTGTAGTATTGCTTGAATGAAAGAGAAATATACATAGAAATATTTTCGTGATATATACTATTTATCTAATATTTATTACATAATACCTCTTCAGAGAGAGATACAGTGAAATATTTTTGTAATATACTATTTTTCTCTGTGATATATACTATCTATCTACAAAGAGGTGTAGTATTTATTTGAATAAAAAACTATCAAATATTTTCGTGAAATAAAGAGAGAGATATTGAGGAAAGTTGATACTTTTTTGCGTGGATTGAGCGTGAGAAAGAGATACAGAGGAATGAGAGAGAGAAAGAAAGAGATTTGTTTGATTTAAGGAAAAGATTTGGGAAAAATAAATTTTGGAATATCAATTTTGAAAATTATAAATTTTGAGCAAAAAAAATATTTTAAAAGAGTTAATGTGGTATGTCAGATCAAAACAATCTGAGAAGTTAATAGCACGAAACAGTTTGGGATAATGTCGTCCGTTAGATGATATTTTTTTTGGTAACAAAATAATCTAGACTACTATTTATCTTTAAAATTCAAATTCGTTATACTTTATTATAATTATATCAACGGTGTATTATTTGATGCTAATTTTATGTCCTAGATTTTATTCCGTGTAGCATTACCTAAAATATAACCAACTTTCCCTCTTTTCTAAGCATATCCATCCTCTCTCTCTCTCACTTTTTCCAGCTCTATTCGTTGACAATTCAATGTTAATCTATATATATGTGAATCTCCAAAGTCTCTACCATCAAACCTAAACATTTTCCTCCCACTTCTAAGCATCTCTCTCTCTCTCTCTCTCTCACACACACACACACACACACACACAAACATGGCTGATATTCAAGATGATCATGGAGCCCCGGGTATCAAGCTGTTTGGCACAACAATTGCAGTGCAAGTGAGACAAGTAAAGGATGAAACAAACGAATCTGATCAAACTAGAGAAAAGAGGCCGGACAAGATCATACCATGCCCTAGGTGCAAAAGCATGGAGACCAAATTCTGTTACTTTAACAACTACAATGTTAACCAACCAAGACACTTCTGTAAGGGCTGTCAAAGATATTGGACAGCCGGTGGTGCCCTTCGGAACGTGCCCGTTGGAGCTGGTCGCCGGAAAACTAAGCCACCATGTCGTGAGCTCGCCGGGTTCTCAGAGGGTTGCTTGTTTGATGCTTCTGGGGTGCAACATATTGATTTTGATGGGGTGTTAGAGGAATGGCACATGGCGGAGCATGGTGGTTTCCAAGATATTTTCCCGGCGAAGAGGCGGAGGAGCACCTCAGGTGGCCAAACTTGTTGACTATCTTCTTTGTCTTTTAGTTATAACAATGCCCAAAAAAAATCAAGTTTGGAAAATATTGGAAGCTAGCTAGCTTGTGTCTTGTTGTACACATACAAGCTGTTTTCAATTAAATTAATAACTAGCTAGTCCATCATTATTGAAATTATCTATTGATGATATGAATATTAATCATGTGGATAACAAGTCTTACAGATAATATTTTCTGACTTTAATCCACCTTGACTTTTCTCGGACGACAGGAATGTGTGTGTGTGGATTGGGTTTTGTCACAGTGTTATGTTTTTCTCCTTTTCTAAATGGGGTTTTGTTGAGAAGCTAATGCCAATAATAAACAAAATAAAATAAAAAAAAATTGTAATACCAGGCAAATTGCATATGATCTCCTGCAGCAAACTTGATTGTGGTCGCTCAAAAATGTCGTTGCCTATGACTTTGGTAGCATCTTACTTGCCCTGTTTCAATTAAGACTGAATTATGTGAACGCATGTACTAAACTTGCCTGAATAATGTGAACACATGTATGAAACCTATCTGCTTGAAAATTAGACCAATGAAATCTTCTCATACATTGAAAATAACGATAAGAATTGGGACCATCTTATAATCATAAAGATTATTAGATCAAAAATTTGAGAAAAAAAAAAAGTCTTTCTTGCAATACAAAAGTAGATTTTTTTTTTTTTTAATATATATCAATACATGGGAAAATAAAACTTTAGGTTAAAAAATACAATAGAGTGGAATCTGATACAGTGTTTGAACAGAATTTTAGAAGCAGATCAGAGTGGAATCTAATGCAGTGCTTGAACAAAATTCTAGAACAAGTATCTGGGTAATGAAATAAGTACTTAGTACACTGAGAATATATGGTAGAATAAAGTGATGCCACTATAAATACAGAAGAATGAGCAGTAGTACTGCTGGGCATATCTAATCTCACTCATTTGATCCTTCAAGTATGCTTGCAGACCGTAAAGTATTTGGCACCCACCCCTTTTGTATATCACTTTAAAATATGAAAAGAGGAGAGAGAAAAAGAGACCAATACCAAGCACAAAGTTTGTGCCGTTTCATAAGCTTTTTGTAAGTTTTTTTTTTTTTTTTTACATTTTTTCTGAGTAACGTTTGTTTTTCTTTTTCCATTTATGCATATTTGTTTTTGTTTTTTTTTCATTTTTTCATCCCTGATTGCTATTTTCCTCTTAAGTTTAATCGCATGCGAGAGGGATCCATTATTTGACTAAATAGTAATTTTACTTAGACTAAATTTGTTTATTTAATCCACCTTTGGCATTACAGTTTGGTGTAATTCAGACATGTCACCCTTAAATTTTACTATTTTGAGTGCAAATAGTTACACTAACAATCCATTACTGTCAATCAAACAATAATATTTGATATAATCATGAAATTAGTTTATAAATTTAGCATAAATAACGTTATTATTGACTAAAATGTGAAGCGGTGTATAATTGTTTTTTACTATTCTTTTTTATCTTTTTGTTGGTGGGGATGTGGAGTAGGTAAGGGTTTTCTATTTTTTTTTGGTTAGAAACTATTAAAAAGAAGAATGACGATAAGATTCAAATCCACGGCTTTAAAATTTAATAGCAGAATAATGACCATTGCGCAACCGCAAAAGCTTATGATTTTAGCATTTCACTAGAAAGGTTAAAGGGTTGTTCCACCCAGGTGGCTTCGGGTGACCTTTAAATGATTCTCTCTCACTCCCCATGCCATATCTTCGGTTCAAATCCCTTTTATGTATTAAAACTTAAAAGGGTAAACTATTTGATGTTCATATTTCGACAGCCTATGATTTGATAACAACAACAAACTTTTTTTTTTTGAACGATAAATAGTTTATTGATCTAAAAATATAAAATGTATAATAAAACTCAAAACACGTCTAGAAGAACACACGTATTAGCACTCAAAATAACAGTGTTTTAAAACTCGACCCGGTCCGACGGGTCAACCCAGGAAACCGGTGAACCGGTGCCTGAGCCGGGCCGGTTCTTTAATTGGATCGGTCTAACAAATAGCCCCGCTCGAAGACCGTTCAAACCGGCTTAAACCAGTTATTTTTTATGAACCCGTGCAATCCGGTCCGATTTTCACAATTCTATTTTTATATTAAAACGCAAACATAAAATATTAAAACTTAACTTCAAGGTTCAAACATAAAATATTCAAACCAAACTTAAAAAGAAATTGACATTCAGCCAGCAAGTTTTGACCACTAGCACTAAGAACTAAAGAAGTGCCACACTTTTATTGGCAAATAGTCCTCGTAACTCTCTGTGAGTTTTCGATTGTGAGTTTTCGATGTGGGATATGTAGTGCTCTTAAATTGTCATTGTTTTTTCTATCAATTTTTCTTTTAGTTTTTTAGGCATCATATTATTACTATTTATAATAAATATTTAATATTTTTTAGTGAATTATTTTATGCTCTGTCAAATTATATCATTTATGTAAGCAAATTAATAATTTGAGGATATTTTTTGTCTATTTATTTCATTTACTATAACATAAAATATGTTATTTTTGTAATTAATATAATTTTTTAGCATATTTATTATTATTATTATTATTATTTATTATTAATTATATGACTGGTTCGACTGATTGACCCACAGTTAAACCAGTAACTCATTGACCCGGTCCATTTATCGGGTTGATGTGCGGGCCGGGTTTAAAAACTATGCAAAATAGTCTATTCTAGACAAAACACAAACCTAGTCTAGGGAAAAAAAGAGAGACTAGGTAGGATCTTGCCTATGCAAGAATTGTTTTTGATCCAAAACGTACGTTAGGTAGGTCTTTGGATTAAGTTTAACTAGAACAAAATTATTCATCTCAAAAAGTGATCAGAAAAAAGAAGAAGATAATTGTTGACATTCAATCTTCTCAAATATGCATAATTCCTTGTGGGGAGGTACTTTTGCCTCTCACGAATTACACTGTAAAATTATCCAACACAATGGTAATCAAATTCCTATAATCAAAAGGGTATAGCCTCAGGCTAACAAAACCTGATAAACACTCATTATGTGTAAAGATAAGGATCCAAACAACTGTTTTCAAAAGTCTTGATCTTATTCAAATTTCAGGAGGGATCATATTCAATTCCTTAAAGACCTCGCTGCACTCGGGTTTAGCTTCCTTGGTCAAGAACCCTAGAGGGTTGGCATGGCGAACCTCCGAGGCAATGCCACTATTGACTGTGAGGGTGATTCTGGCTGCTTCTCTTTGCCATCCCTTCGGGCCAGATTCTGAGCATTCCGGCTTGCCGCTTTTCACGAGCAAGATCTCGCAGATGTCTTCCTCGTGTTCGCCCTCCACCGGTAGGCTGTAGGTACCGGATTTATCGGTTACTCCCTCAATGCTGTATGTTAATTGCCCACCTTCATTGGCTCTGCACTCTAAACGCACCTTTGCACCTACAACCATGGAAATGTGTTACAAACTTTCAAAAAAAAAAAAAAACAGACAATGGTACCTTCGTTTGTATAGTAGGATCACATTAAATGCATATCTATAGTTTCTCAAAAGTTACTTTTAACTGTTGTTTCATGGTGCTTTTAGGGGTAGAGCTGAATATGGTTTGTATCATGTAGAGTTTGTACTGTGTCAAAATTTTCTTGACATAAACTATCCTACCCTTGTATAGTCGAGTTTCTGTTATCTTGGGATTTTATGTGATACATCGTGTTTTTAGTCAAATTCTTGTTGTATTTGGTTGGATTGTATCGTGTTTAATTGGGTTTTTACGGACTCAATTGTTAAGTGAATATACGTTAATTTGAGACCGAATAATTATATATTAAAATCACGTGGATTATGCCTAAGCTAGTTTGCCCTACCTAGAAGCAACAATAACGAATAGGATCAATTATAAAGAAGCCCAACGGATTTAGAAGTTGATCAAGCACCCATTTATAAAGCTCAAGATCTTGACTTTGAGTCTCCTATTGGTACCACTTCTTAAGGTTTATGCTTCTAATTACCATTTACCAGGTGATTCATATTAAATGGAGGGAGAACATATATCCCGAAAGATTAGTAAAAGAACGTATATAGCTACCTCCTAGTTTGTCTCGTACCTGGCATGAACTCGCTGAGTCTAGTCATGAATTGGGCACGGCATGGGTCACAATAAACCTGGCCCTCGACAAAGAAGTGAGCATCACGGCATTGAACAATGCCAATAAGGGAAAAGAAGCAAAGAGCAGTGGTGAAGAGAATTGCAGTTTGAACAGTTTTCGCCATTGTTGTTCTTTCTTTTTGTTTTCCAGACAATGTAATACCAAATTCTAGGAAGATGTAAGAGAGAGAGGGCTCTCTTTTATAAGAGGAAATGGTTGAGACCATTCATGAGAGGTTGTTAAATCCTTTCTGCTGGCAGTTATTTTTGTGAGGTTGGTGTTTACCTTTGGTCTCATGTGGCTTATAAAAATTCTTTGACTCGCTCTTGTACATTTTCTTTTCTAAGTTAAGACCAAACCCCCCCCACCCCTCTCTCTCTCTCTCTCTCTCACACACACACACACACATGCTGAAACTTTCTTAACCCGTTATTTTGATATTTTTGCATTGGCCATAGTAATTTATAAATAATAAAGTTGCTATATACAATCAACAATGGTTCAAAAATTGACGAATTGTATTTAAAAAGTGGAAAGTGAACACAAAAAATGGTAAGTGAAAACTAAAAGATGAGTGCACTTCAAAAATTAGTAAGTCCCACCTAATAAATGGTACAAATACCTAAAAAAGTAATAAGTAGTACAACATTAGGAAAGAGAATTTGATACCTTACTCGTACCCCTATATATCGAGAAAATATTCGGTATTTATCAAGTACCGCATGACAGTGTCATGTGGTGTACATCACTCATAAAACATTATACATTTTTAATTAATTGTTATCACTTATAAAGTTGTCAAAATTTTTCTTAACATCCATATGCAATTTAATGTTTGACAATTTTTCGTTAGATATGAGTAGCAACTGACATTGCTATAAGCACTGGAAATTTTCTCGTGTAATGCTATTTAGAGATCTAAAAATTTGATATAATCTACTGATTTAATGTTGTGATTTATCATAACTATTTGATTAACGCCAAAGTGTAATGTTTGATGAACCTAATATAGTAAATTATGTTAATAAATTAAATTGGAATAACATTATTCTTTTTCTCATATATATCAATGAGCAATTGCAACTCTCACTCCGAAACATTCAGCTCACAGAATCAGTAGTCCCTTAATGTAGTAGAATTATTCAATTCTCTCTCAATTGTATGTTTGTCTGTATCTCTCTCACTTTTTCCCATACTTTCTTTTTGATGGCACAGCTCTCCTTATCCTCAGGAAACTTGTCTTATATGCAGAGGCCAACTTCCTTCAATCTTTTCCCAGGGATAGGTTTCAGATTGTACAGTCAATTGTCTTACATGGGAGCAATTCAATGACATGCTTATCATAATTTTTTTTTTTATCAAATTTTAGATATTAAAGAATTTATCAAATAAATAACTATTGAATAATTAGTGAAACCATTGATGTAATTAGCTATATTAATTTACATTGTTTTGGGAACTTTGCTTCGGCCCATTTTTATTTTTTATTTTGGTGAGGAAAAAACAAGTTTATTAACATCATAGTAACCTTTACATTTTTGGTATGCCCGCCCTATTCCACTGCTACCATCTTGCCTAACAATATTTTGACGGGCCCAAATTCAGATCAAATCTAGGCTTATTTAATGGGTTGAACTCAAATCATCAAAAGACAGACTAGACTTAGTTCATGATTTCGATCTAATCCAAAGTTCAAGAGTCCAGTGCAAGTCAATGCACGTGGGAGAACAATTATCAGGATAATAATTAATTCAAGATAGTGTCTATCTCTAATTATAATTATCCTCCCTGATAAATTAATAGTTTGACCGTCAAGTCATTGTCACAGTTAGGACTTTATACCTATAAATTGTAAATCCCCTTAGATGGGTGCAGAGATCTCACACACCTCGCTTTGAACATACTCTTGCTTTCTCTCTCTCTCCCACTCACCTACTACTTTATTTTCTCTTTACTAAAGTTCTCTGGCCACCATTACTGCTTTAAGTGGTTATGTCACTTAAGCCTAACCACCAAATCTTTGTCTTTTACAATTAATTGTTTCATTAATTACCTTACATCATACACTCTATTGATTTAATTGTGCATAACTTATTTTATGCATCATCAATATTCATCATACAAAGAGGGAGATTATCCTTCCATTGAACAATAACTCTCTCGTTCCTAGTATGAACTGCAAGCATATAAACACAGCTTTGTTATGAGTCCTTTGTGTTGCGTGGAACTTCACTAATGGGAATAATTGAGCAAGGTTCCATATGTCATGTTGTATAGATGCAATCCCTTTCAAAGTATCTCCATTACCCCCAATAAGAGAATCAATGAGTTGCTTTGAGTCATATTCAACAATGACTACACCATAACTTTGTTCCACAACAACTTTGCATACTCGTCTGATTGCATAAGCCTCTGTCATTAGTGCAGATGATGCTACCACAACTTCAGCCTCCACTAGAATAGATCTCCCTTCATGATTTCGAACTATGATACCATATCCTCCCTCTTTTACCTTTTCCACCCAAGCTCCATCACAGTTTATCTTCAATACCCCATGAGGAGGCGATTACCATATCAAACTCTCACTAGAAGAGTTCGTACCATTTATAGCCTTATAGGTATACGTTTGCTATTGTTTAGCTCTTCTATTGTTGTTACGACATTTGTAATGACAGTTTTACTACATTTTTGCTTGTGATTAAACACCCAATCATTTTTAGACTTCCATATGAACCAACATAAGCATATTAGCGGAGCTTGGCCCTCCTACTCTCCTTCACCATACACCTTGCAGATTTGTAGTTGTAAACCAAGTCTCAAATCTACTAATGTCATACTTGTATATCTTTATGCTTAAGGGGAAAATCTTCCACATCTTTTGCACCCATGGACAGAGGAGGAATAGGTGTTCAACAGTCTCTTCTTCCTCCCTACATATTGGGCATGTTGGTAATTTGAAAGTTTTCTCCTCCATAGCTCTCATTTAGTTGCTAAGGCTCCATTTGCAACATTCCACATGAAAGCTTGTATTTTGGGGTGAACCTTACTCTTCCATATATTCCTCCATAAGCCATCTGGAGCTTGATAAGATGAGGAAGCAGTGACTCTGCCCTGAGGTGCCTAAGCTCTTTGTGTTGCATATGGTGTCCACTCTTCATAGAATAAACTCCATTATTTGTAAAATTTCATCTGATTCTATCAATCTGGGATGTTTCACTAAGAGTGTAACGCCCCATAAACCCCCGTGGGTGACATTACATTCTAAAAACCATTTACCGTATGAGAGCATTAAGTAAAATTCATCACGACGAAAGTTTCATTCATCAACCATTCATATTTTAACAAAATTTGGGCAGAGTCTCCTTTGTACGGAGAGCTCTACCCAAAACACAACCTGTACAATTATATTACAATTGACCACACCGGGTCCACATATGCATAACTATTGACCACACCGGGTC